CTAACGAAGTAGCATCGCCTAGTGTTAGCTTCAGAAATTTTCGACTCGTTCATCAGTCTGTAGTAGGTATATGGGCCTATTATGTGCAACGCGGATACCATCACGTGGCCTTCGATTACTGAGCCAAATGATTAATCAGGCCTAGTACTATGCGACCAGACCAATTGTTACAAAGCTATCGCCCGCGCCGTGGTCCGTAGTCGGGGGTTTCATCATCAGTCAACATTAATTACATTAGTCATTTTAGACACAGATGGTGGCATCTTCCTTGCTCGTAGTCGGCCATGTTCGTAAACTATATCCGCCGGCCAGCTTTCCACCCGACGGTAGAGCCGATCGACTCTTTTAGGCTTAAGCTCATCAGTAACCAGGTGGGTGGGTGAGTTCTGTTTGCGTTCAGCTAGATGCGTAGTAGAGCTCAATCTCCAGTATAGCAAGCACACAACCATCATGATACTTTGTACACATCGCCGAGCATGACCCGCCTCCTTTGCTTCTCCGATATGGCGCATTTGATGCGCGAACGCGGCTCATCAAATCTAAAGCCTTCCAAGTTGGTGAGCTTTATCTGCTTCGATAAGCACCCTCGGTGAATAAATGCGAGTAGCCTTACAACCCATTGAATGCTGCCTACACAAACAGCCCGAGGTTATTGCTGCATTGTAGACCGCTTGACTGTATTTGTCTTCGAACGGTTCATGCTACGTAAAAACCTGTACGATTTGGAGCTAAGTACTTAAGTATACATGTGCGTTCTAGAATATTTCTCTCAAAAGTCGCTACTTAGGCCGGACTCTTACCTCTCGCACCGAAGATCCGCTGTCCCTCGGGTGTGCGCGAGGAGCCAGTGCAGTAGGACGGCGATTACAACTGATTAGGTAACTACTTCGCCAATGGGTCCAACACGGCCGACGTCTTTTAATCTTGTCGGCCCGTAGATCATGCAGTCAGACGGCGTAGCTGTTGCCTGCCGTTACCCGTTATGCGCTGACGCGTGTCGAACAGATAGTCTGCGACACTGGTCATTTGGATATTTGGATACGCATCTGTAAAAAAATTTGCACATTAAGATGCCGACTTCACTATCACATCATACAACGTCTGGGGTTCATTACTGAATTGTGGGCATCTCCCCTTGCTCGCTGTGGGAACAATATTCGGCAATCTTTCTCCCAACGGCTGGCACGCCCTCTATTGGTGCATCAGATTCAAAAATGTCAAGGGATCGTGACGCAAACATGTCACTTTTCGAGTCTGAGAAGTAGTGCCTGGCTGTATATAGTCAGTATCCTGGCTAAGCGCAAAAAATCCCTTGCGCAAGAAATGAGGGCCGAATCCTGCCAGAACGAATTTTGCCTAGCGTATCGTTAGAAAAGAATAGCTTATTGGCCAAGCGCATTCGCTTTATCTTCGGTATTTTCAATTCGCCCGGAACTTTGCTCCTCTGGCACCAAAATGGCGATCCTAGCGGATCCTTCGTCGCAGTATAGTCATGGCTCCTCTCGTCAGTGACTCGCTGGCTGCGTGAGACTGAGTCGGGTTCTTGAGCGTTCGTTGTCGTTCTCCTCCACGCTTTACCGGTTGTTCTCTTCCGCTACGTTCCCCTCCCCCAGTGTCAAATCACGACGAACCAAATCATCCAGGATCGCTGTGCCTCAGTCGACCTCAGTCGATTGTCCCTGTCAAATGCAGGGGCGATGCCCGTCTTGCCTGTCAAAACACTGACCCACCGTGCCGCATGCTTACTATCTGGAGGTACTTACGTATCCGGCTACTTGACTATGATCTCGGAGGAGAAGAATGTGGCGTCATTATATCCCAAAATCTTCTAGCTGACAGATAGATTTATAGATAAATCACTAAAAATTTGTATACATGTAAGTAAGTACGACATGCATCGTACGTATGTACATATGGCCTGAGGCGTAGGGAAATCTCGTCATCCAAACTCTTCATCTTGTCATAACAGAACGTGGGGTACCCTGTAATATGGATGCTGGGATTTTCCAGGCGGCGAGCCCTGACTGGGATCCTAGGATAGAGTTTGCACGAAAGCCTGTCAAATGCAACCATCCGCTTCCTGAGGCTCGCCTCTCGCCTAGCGTTCAGCCTCCAGCAGACCTCCGCCTGCATTAGCCCTGCACAGACAGCATAAAGTTAGCTTGGCAACGGCTCTGAATCGTGAACCAGCTTCCGGCGCAGAGGTCTCGACGGCCCACCAACAGTCATTAGTGCTGGCTCTCCCCCACCAGACTCTCGTCGGCCGTAAGTATCCATCTATCATTCCTGCGTTGTTTTGAGCAGCGCCGGCGCTCTCGCCTCTGGACCAAGATGGCCAACGACATGTCACGCTTGACCACCTGGGAGGGAATACTTGCGCATATGTTGTCAAATCCACCGCCAGCAGATGAACCCCAGCCCTTGTCAAACAAAAAAGGAACCATATTCGGCATCACGCTCACTTTCTTGGTATGATATCAGCGACTCCACACAGTGATTTGTATACTAATTTTGCACAAAAGGCTGTAGCATGGTTTGCAGTGCTTTTCCGTCTTTGGGTACGTATCAGAATTGTCAAGGAGTTCGGCTGGGATGATGGATTTGTGCTTCTCGCTCAAGTATGTACAACAATTCTAGAGTACGAGGGGGCCAAGCTTAGGAAATGCTGACTTGTTCGACAGTGCCTAAACACTGCAGCGACCATCATCGTGTGTATTTGTAAGTTATGCATCCTACAAATGTGTACTCGGCTAATGATTACAGCGGTCAGATATGGACTCGGCCGACACATGTTATATCTTGGATTTGATAACGTGGCTACCTATCTAAGAGTATACATGCCCCATGCTTCCTTGTACAATAACATATTGACCTGACCAGATGTACTACATAGAACTGGCCATTTACATTTCCAATGGTGCGATTATCAAAGTCGCTTTGTTATTCCAATATCTGCGTATCTTCAAGGCTGGTCGTATGCGATGGATATGCATAGGACTACTTATCGCAGTGATACTCTGGGGCATCGCTTTCTCATTCACCGCCTGGTTTCCTTGCTTCCCAGTTCGTGGCTACTGGGATCGTACCATTCCAGCAAAATGCTACGGCTTTGGTTTCGGTAATCTGGACGAGTTTGTTATGACATACAAAGCTCAATCAGCGACCAACATGATGTTCGATATCGCCATATTTGTGGCACCTATGATACTCTTCAGGACGCCGAACTTACGAAGGAAGAATCTCATAGCGATGGCTGGCGTTTTTTCGTTTGGCGCAGTGTAAGTTAGCCTATCTTACAACACACAACATATTTGGACTAACAATGCCAGTGCTGTCGGAACAGCAGTCGGGCGCCTACACGGCATCGTAAAAACCAAAGGCGCGACCTATCCTTATGTTGACTACACCTGGTGGACACCTACCATGATCATTCTATCCTGTCTCGAAATCGACCTAGCCATTATCTGCGCCTCCATGCCTATCTTCTGGCCTATCGTCGAAAGGTCTCTTGTCGCCATTCTCGTCAGCTACGAAGTGCAAGTGGTTGAGGAGCGTGTGGATGACTACGGCCTCACATACGAGCTCGAGCACAAGAAAACGAACGACAGAACGAGTATCAAGAGCAGTGGGACAAGCACGAGAGAGTTAACACAACAAGAGGAGGATAATAGTAATAATAATGGGAAACGGCAACAGTTCACAGTGGGCTGCGATCCACTCAACGAGGAGCAAAGAAATGCTGGGTTTACAGCCAACATTGAAACGCTCGCAGCGCCGCCAAAATGGCAGATTTGACATGAATTTTACTCTTTTTCCAGTTCAGGACAATTTTTTTTAAATCATCAAATGTGATACCCCATGTACCGGGACGCCTCTTCCCTAACTGCCGTCTTTCTTCACGACGGCCAAACCTTAATATCCCAATGGTAGATCGCGATTGTCCCCTTACGCAACCCCCTCACACCAAACCTCATGTAGCGCGGCAGCCCCCCTCCAATCGTCGAATCAGCATATTTACCACCGACGCTAACCACACGGCATCTAGGCCCCCCACGATCTAGAAATCTCAAAGGCAAGCTAAAATGTCCAAGTCCCCATTCTTTATCGTTTCTCGTCTATTTTACCCGAATCCATACCTGCATTAGACCCTTTTTGCTTCTCAAAAGCCGCAAAATGCATGGCTGTGCCGATCAATCTCGGATCAGCTCTCTTTTTCTTTTTCCTAGTAGCTATTATATGGGGAGAAGGTTTCATGTGATGGCACCCCCTTGACCCTTTCTTCTCATACTTTCCTGCTTTCGTGTCCTTGCTATTTGATTGCGCTTGGCAATCACCAGTGGGTTTGGAGGGGTAACAAGGGGGATTCCGCCAGCAACCTGCTTATCTCTGGGGTACTTAATGCTCCCGGCGGTGAGGACGTCTCAGGCACTGAGATAGGAGTACTCGGCTGCTTATGGGTATGCCGTCTTGGATGCGCGAGTTGCCGGCGCCGTCTGCATGGCCATTGTTGTCTGGAACGAGCGGTTGACGTCAGACAATGCGTATGGACTGATCTCGCCGAATCATTTTCTCTGGGGAAGTTGCTTGTTCGTCAAAATGTAGCAGGGTAGAGTACTGTAGGTATACGTAGGTGTAAAGTATATGCTACGAAACTTTCTTCGACAGAAATGGTGTTGCGCGCACTTAAATATGACTTACGTACTACCACTAGATTTTTACTTTACATGTTGCAATGAGATGGATGTTAGCGTTGGTCTAAAACGTCTGTATTACGCCCAGCTGAGTGATAGAGCTTGGCTATGAGGGGAAATCTCGCGATATACGCGCAAACACTTTTCATTGTTGAATGATCATTTCCAAGGACCATCCATCGCCTCTCGTCAAGCTCGCTGTTTCGTCCTTTTAGGTCGCTGTCGCTTCACATCGAGAGTACTTATTTCTCGCTTACTAGGATCCAGCCACAAAGTATTTGCTTACCGGCCGAGCTTTGGGCTTTATTATTACATACTCTGTACCCTGCTGCGGCGTTTATTTTTCCCTGTGGTGATCATGGACAGGGGATTGTCAGCCGACCTGGTGTGCGGAATACGAACTGGATTGGACACTTGACATTTGACTACGCGACAAAAGCTGATGAAGCCAGCTGCCCCTTTTCGCTTGCACTCCACGCATTTTGCTTCAGCTATGATGTGCTTTTTCTGCGCCGGCTTTGCTCTTATGTATGGCCGACCACCAACACCATGCTCATTGATCGCATGGTGCAAAGCCTCCTCGGCGCGGCACATACCTTCCGTCGCCGCGTTGCCGCGAACCTGCACCGTCTCGTTCTTGTAAAGGCCAAAATCCGAAGTTTCGTAGATCCTATCTTCAGCTTACAACTAATACCTCATTGTTCTGGGAGATGGCGCTTGCAAGGTACGTATGGACACGCATTTTCGACGTAATTGCAACGCCAAGTGGCCGTCTTTGCGTGGCATACCAGTAAGGTAAAATAGTTTGTCCGGTCAGGCCGGGAGGATTGATGGAGCACAGGTAGTAGGGACAAGCTGGGTAGATGAGGGTATGACCTAATGGAAGTATGACCGACGAGTGCAGCTGCCGAATATAACACACTTGTACTTGGTTCTTTTCAGCACTGTTGCTCCCATGAAACACTGGTCTAATTGGCTTGTTCCCGTGCCAACGCAAACAATTACTGTAAAGTGCTTCGATATGTCTAAAGTAAGTAATATGTGCGCTTCCCATTCTCGCGGTTGCGACCTCTACAGATGCATAGACTAGAAGACCAAGTCGGCGAACATGACTAGCATTCAGCATAGTGGGAAATGAACGGACCTGAGCAGATCATTTTCTATTCGTCTCTCATGCATGCTTTCTGTGTGTCTTGCTCTTTTTGATGATGCTGCCCGTGTACTTCCCTATGTTTAGACTTTCTCACTTTGTTGTTGGTTCCCCTTCAATCTCAACGTTGGCTCAAAAAAGATACCATTCAATGTCAATGCGACCTCCAAGATGAAAATAGCTACTGATTCAGTGCAAGAATTGTTAATGCCATGCCCACAAGTTCTGATGCAGTGCTTCTCAGAATTGTTCCTATCTGTGTTTGTATAGAGAGATCCACTTTACTCACACGATAATGAATGAAATTGTATGGGGAAATACGCTAAAATTTTACACGAACGCCACGGCAAAGCGAGCCGCTCCATTGTATCAATGTCACAACAATTGACCATTCTCGCTGCATTCTCATTCGCATAATAAACCAATTACGAAAGGGCATTGACTATGCTCGAAGTTTATTTCGATACTTTCTTTTCCGGATAGAAGAAATACCAAAGCTAAGGCTCTGTGCCGCCCTTGCAATGTCAAGCTGTAACCGCAATCATGATTGCAGAGACAGTGCTGCGCACTTAAGTACCTTTATATCTACATCGGGACTAGCGTGATCTTCTCTATGCGATAACACGCCCTAGCTCAAGCTCGCGATACTGAACCCCAAGTTTCCTAGGCGAGGATCTGGTAATTTTCGTAGGCGTGATACGCGCTGAGAAACCAGATACAGTTGTAGTGTTCATGACAACGGCAAGGGCCTGCCTAACTTGGTAAGCGGGAACTCAGGTTCTTGCACCTTTTCTTTGTCTTTAACATGATGCATGTATTTCTGTTTTTGACTGTTTGTTTTGGGGGCCAATGAAAGCTATGGTGATACCCTTTTGCCTGTTAAAATGATTCTCATGCCCGTTCAATGCTTTGCTATTTGCTTGTTGATATTTTGTGGCGAGAAGAAACCTCACATAGCGCACCGATATAGTTGACGAAGAACACGATACCTTCCCGCCGAACTCCCGTTCAGTACACCACTTCAAATCGACTCTATTGAGGGATCTTGTGCTCGCAAAGAGAACGACTAGCAAGGTACAACGTCACGTATTCTGAACATCAGATCTGCCGGCCTAAACGAGATTTAGCCTTGCCATCTGGCTATCGAAACTTCCCAATCTCTCCATCATGACATCGCCCCAGAGCGGTCGCGTCATCATCGACCCCACTGGAGGTGCACTGATAACTTTGGAGAGCTCAGAAACAGTCTTTGCTCTCTGGCTGGAGCCCCTGGATACTTCGAGCGATTCAGAAGATATAGGCACCGAAGATCTAACTGAAGAACTTGATTATGAAGATCATAGCGATGGAGAGGAATTGCCCAATTGGATGAGGTGGGACGATTCAGACCCAGAGTACGGTGTGCAAGAGCAACCTAAGCAACAGGACGAGCCAATACTTTCTACAATCCCTGGAAGACGGACTCATGGAATTGAGGTACTTTCCGCGTCAATTCATCCAGTCAAACCGAGCCCACCTCTGCCAATTATCTACCAGATTTCATCAGCGCATCTTATCACAGCATCTCCAAAGTTTAGAAGTGAGCTTTTGTCCTCAAGAGACAACCAGAAAGACAGCAATAGCCTCCATCACATCAAATGCTCAGATTGGGACCCTGAAGCCTTTGAAATATTACTCAACACGTTGCATACCCGCTACCGCCGAGTACCAAAGCAGTTGAGCTTGGAAATGCTCGCCAAAATCGCCGTAATGGTCGACTACTACAAATGCTGGGAAGCTTTCGAACTGATATCTCAAACATGGATCAGACACATTCGTGTGTGCCACCCGATGCCTCAAACCTACAGCCGCGACCTGATGCTCTGGATGCTGGTCACCTGGGTTTTCAAGCTACCGAAAGAATTCACCAGGGCCACTGCCATAGTGTTGCGACAATGTACGGAGCCAAAGATACAAGACATGGGGCTGGGAATTCCACCATCAATACTCCGTATGTTATACCACAGCTGTGATAGTAGCAAATTGCTCACATGAAACAGGGACGCTGGAAGCCCGACGTTCAGAAGCCATCGAACAAATCATCGAGACATTCAACTGCTGGATCGACGAGTTCAGCGACACCTACACGTGCCAGGTCGATGCAGACTTATCTTTCGAGTGCAGCTCGATATTACTTGGTGCCCTCATGAAGCAGATGCGAAACATCGATGTTCTATCACCTCTAGTCGTTGCGCCATTCGATGGGTTCAGTCTGGAGAAGGTCCATGAGAATATCAAAACGATACAATCACCGATTTGGGAAACGTACGATGGAGTTAATGAGCTTTACCCTATTAAGCATGCTTGCGGCTTTCACAGAACAATCATACGAGACGTTGGGCATATTGTTGCGAAGACGAAGGGGTTGGTTCTGAGTAACTTTGTGGATTGCAGTGAGAATATGGAGGGGTTGAGTCTTGGTCCTCCATGAGCGCTGTCGTGGAGTGTTTGGTGTTCTCACTTTGGTGTTTGGTTTTTACTTCGTATATACCCACATTCACAAACGCTTGCTTCCTGGAGAATAATAAATGAATATGATATGAAGGCATCAGTAGTCATAGAATCGCGTTAGCAAAATGTTGATTTCCTTCGCCTTGTTTACGTTAGATGATCGCTATCATGTGTTTTATTGACAATTTGGGTATTACGTCTCAGCTAAGCTTACCTAAAGACTACCTGATGTGTCTGCTTGGGGATCTAAATGGAATAGTTGCTGAAGTATTACTAAAAAGGTTAAAGTTGTGCAGACATAGCAGCGGAGCCTAAAATGACCGATCAGATAATCAATGCAATATTACGTGGATCATGATGACTTCTGTCACCTGATAGACTCTCTCACTACATATTAATAATATACGCCTAGCTATCAGTTGCAATTATGCCATAGCTTCTACGCTCTCACCTCGTTGTTCACCTTCGTCAGCTGAACAATCTTATATCACTACTCTGGTAATTGAGAGAAGAAAAAGTACCCTTCACTAGATATCTAGACCACTACAAGTAAGCTTGTTACTATAAAGACCGGGGAGTTCCTCTAGTCCGCTTCTACCACAGCCTTTTGAAGACTTGCAATCCCCCGCACCAAGCGTCCAACAGAATCAACATGCCGATAATCATGAAGACTCCTGATGTCAACAACGCCTGCAATCTTCATGTAAGGTAATATCCATATCGCATATTGATACGATAAACATGGAGTGCTCAAGTCATCTAGCGCTGCCGCCAGGTCACAGATTATTGTCGTCGAGGTCGGACCTGACAGGACAAGATACATTCTACACAAGGAACTCTTAATTCACCACTCCGGACTGTTCCGACGCGAAATATCTCAAAATCCCAAGAAACAAAGTTTTGCTTTAGAAGACATCTTCACTGAGGAGTTCAGTTTCTTCGTGGACTGGCTGTATGAGAAAAAACTACCTTCATCTGCCCAAACTACCGAGTCTTGGCTCGCATTCTATGCATACATGGTCGCAGATCGGCTCTCGGTGATTCGCTTGAAAGTTGCATTGATGGATGCAATTTTTCATGAGCTTTCTTCACGTAGTGTGAGCAGCGACATGGTCTGTAGGCTTTTTGAGGCTCTACCAAAGAACGATCCACTGCTTCAGCTAGTTGTGGATGCAATCTGTATCAACGACGGCATCGGACGTATGGGTACAGAGAGTCTCGTCAGCATTGATAACTTGTCAAAAGAATATCTGACTCGAGTAATGCGCAAGTTTCATCATCTAAACCAACTTCCCGAGAAGGAGAGAAATTTATGTCGTGCAGACTACAGTATGATGGCATGCTTGTTGGGTTAGACTGGTGGAGGTGAAGCGTGAGGACCGTTCTAGTAACCGGAGGAGAACAGGCTGAGGAGAAAGCTTAGTGAGTGGAGTTGGACTTAAAAGTGCGACTTCACACGAAAAGATGGAACTTATGAATCATTTTTTTGATATTTAATGCGAAATCATATCAGGGGAGAGAGTTTGCACAGTTCAGGAATGACTCTAGATTCTTTTGGCGTTATAGGAGGAATGAAAGAGATGTTGCTTTCCCGCCAACACCCCGTTAGCGTGTGATGACATAAGTGAGGCTCCGCTGTCTTGGTTAGCGCCGCGCTCCGAGCTTCAGCAGCGCCATTCGTCATTTCCTATAAGCAACACTACTTCCACCACAGGTACCGTTCCTTTAACATAACTCTTTACGGTCCAGACAACGCTCTTGCATTAGCTTGCTAAGCTAAGAGATCCGTCGCACAAGGACAGAAACTGCGCGTTCGCAACCCAATCAAGTGCTACATCTCTAGTAATACACAGCGGTCTTGTAAGTCAATAGTCCACAGATCTGGGCGCATGTACTGATACGGCTCACAGTCAGCTTATACACCTTCCGCCGCAATCATGTCAGATGTCGAGGCCGAGCAGAAGCGTGAGGAGGATGAGCGTCTCGATACTGCAGAAGACCCAAACGAGGAGGTACGGTCTGAGCCCTCTCCTGCACGCGGAAGGCATTCGTCCAAGTTTGGCACAATGCGCGTGTCTGGGTATTCACATCGCAAGTAAAGGTACTGACGACAGCGCACAGGAAGAAATCTCTGCAATGAGGCGCCGTGTTCAGGAGATGGAGGAAGAGGCACAGAAGCTGCGCCAAATGCAGCAAGCCATCGACAATGAACGGCACGAGATGCGCGAAAGCAAAGAGGACGTTGATGCGCGAAGTGTCTTTGTCGGCAACGTAGATTACGGAGCCAGCCCCGAAGAGATTCAGGCGCATTTCCAGAGCATCGGTAGCATCAACCGTGTCACTATTTTGTTAGACAAGTTCACTGGACATCCTAAAGGGTCAGTACTAAGAGGGGGTTTTCTTTGAAGATTTGCGCGTCCTTGAACTTTTGAGTCAATTGCGCGCAATGAGTTGGCGCAAAGCCGGAATCGCCCGTCGCGTTGACTTCGTTTCTGTCTCTGGACATTTACAAGATCGTCTTTCGCTACCTGGCAAGAGTTTGGCAGAAAGATCGGAACGCTAATGAGCGTATGCAGGTATGCTTATGTGGAGTTCACAGAACCCCATTTGGTCAATGAGGCCTTGGTCCTCGACAATAGTCAATTCCGGAATCGCAACTTGAAGGTATGATTGTAGCAAATACGCCGCATGGTTGTTCAGATGCTAACTCATCCGTAGGTTGTGCCCAAGCGAACGAACCTCCCAGGTATGACGCGAGGCGGACGTGGCGGCCGAGGTGGCGGCCGAGGTGGCTACGGCGGACGTGGCTCGCCGTACGGACGCGGCGGATTTAATAGTTACGGCGCTCCTCCTCGAGGAGGTGGTTATCGGGGTGGATACCGCGGAGGAAGAGGAGGTTCCGCGTACCGTCCTTACTAGAGTTGGGCAATAGCACACATGGATCTGTGTTGGGTTTTCAACCGTTTTATTGAAGGAAAGATTCATAAAGGGGCACATGAAATTGGAACGGAGTCGCGGTGAAGCTTTGCAACAGCAAAGGGCTTTGTACTATACCTCAAAAGGTCCGCTGGGGGATATGCTGCTTGGAATATGGCATCAGATTTGTCCTCATTTCCACCACCCGGATATAATTTTCTTTCGAAGGGACACGCAGTTTTAATACATCTTTCGGTAACATCTATTTGAGACATTGCAGGATCGTGAGATGAGTGGCCAATTTGCAAGTCAATAGTGAATGCTATTCTGAAAGCAGGACGCTGTCAATGCAGGGAGAGATCAGGTATCGTAGCCCAAAAGCAGCTTTTTCTCCGCTTGCGTATCCTCTCGCCTTTGGGTATGATGCCCTAGACGCCAGGACCCGTCATGGTAGCGTCAAGGATGCTCCACAATGATTGCGCCAAAGCAAAGAAGCCAAACAAAAAATCCAAGAGCAGTTCGCTTCATTCTCTGATCTCTCCAGTCGCTGGGTACAACCCGGTGTTCGAAGGCGTAGCTTGTCAGACCTCCGTGTTCCTCGATCGCTATGACGATGGTAAAGTGTCTGCCGTAGCCCTCGCAGCAGAAGAGGCATGCGCTACAGAAGCTGCTACTTCTTTAACCTTCCTCAGCCATGCAGCACCCTTTCAGTCCTCTTTCCGCCGATGTTGTGCGTCATCGTCGAGCTACTAGGGGGCTGGGTTCTCCTTGACGATCTGCCTAACTTTGCGCTCGTATGCCGTCTTGTCCTTCTTGAACAGGTTGAAGGCGTCGGCTTGCGCCGGCGACTCTGGGTTGGGCTCGTCGAGCAGCGACTGAATACCTAGCAGGATCTCTTTGATATTTATCGCGGGCTTCCAGCCTTCTTCTTCGTTGAGGATGGAGAGGCAGACGGTGCCAGAGGGATAAACGTTGGGGTGGAATAGTGGTGGCACGAATTTACCTGTGAGTTGACACGTTAGCGGCAAGCTTTCAGTATATTAGGGCACCTGCGATTCTGCAGCTGAGTGCTTTGGGCAAAAGAGGGGGAAACATACACTTTGGTGGCTTTGTTGGGTACTCATCTGGGAAGGTGACTTCCAACTTGAACAGGCCGCCTTCCCAAATGGTCTTTTCCTTGCCTGGTACACCGCAATCCCACTTCTTGAGGTCCATCATGCCGTTGGCGCCACGCATGGGCTTTGCGAAAAAGCCGAAGGGATGATCCCGCCGCCATGACTTTCTGGTGCACTGTTAGTAGGTAAACAAAAGACAGGTATGGATGGTCGCGCACCTCTCCTCCGAGAGCCGATTGATGCAGAGAGACATTGCAGGTGCGAGTGTGAGGCTGGAGTTTGCGCTTGAGCTGTCCTGTATCGGGGTCTATTTCGGGCGTTGACAGAGAGGGTGGTGTGTTTTTTGCGCGAGTTGTGAGCCGCCGGTTGAAGAGCGTGCGGGCGTTGCAGTTATGTACAGGTGACAGTGGTGGTGAAGGTGAGCGAAAGCGGAACGAGACAAGGTGAAGTCGAGTTGCGGGCGCACGTGACGTGACAACAATTATCTCCCCCGGGGCGCGTCACAGCGTTGGGATTGTCGTCCCAGTGCTAGTCTAGATCCCGCTGGCAGTATTGGGAAGGTACGATGGCCGATCTTGCCCCGCGCTAAACAGTGGCCCCCGCTTATGTGAGTGAGGGTACATACCGCTGGGCCAGCCGAGGCTGACGTTGCACATGCGTTTGGCTCATGCGTATTCTTTACCCTTGCCTCTCCACCTTGTATTCCCTATCGTTTCTTCACCTGACCGCCTGGAACTGAGTGTGGGCAAGCATGGCGGACACGACTGTGAAGAAGGCAGAAGAGCCGCAGCTGGCTAAAGCAACACCTGCTACCACCACTGCCCCTCCTCCACCCGAGGTTGCATCGGATCCCGAAGAAGACGACCTCTCTGACCTTGACGATGTACTGGATGAATTCGCAAACACTAAGCTTGATGCCAAAGCACCGACGGCCTCCTCAATAGAAGCTGCGTACCCCAAATCTGACAAGGCTCCATCATCCTCCGGACCTGGTAGGCCGCCCGAAGATGTGTCGCCAGCAGACTTGTTGCTTGATGACCAAGAAGAATTTCAGAAACAGCTGCAAAAAGAAATGGAGCAGCTCCTTGGGCAGGGCGACTTCCAGAAGCAATTTGAAGAGATCATGAAGGAGATGAGTGAGGAGATGGGCGGCGCAAATCCTCTGGATGCTGGTGGGCATGCGCATAGCGAAGGACAAAAAGCTGCGGGAGCATCCACTTCGTCTGAAAAAGAGACTGTTGCAAAGGCTGAGAAGAGCTTCCAGGAGACTATTAAAAAGACAATGGAGCGCATGCAATCTTCGTCTGATACTGCCGCATCTGCTGCTGCATCTTCCTCGCAAGACGATATTCTTGCACAAATGCTTGCGTCCATGGAGTCCGGTGGCTTTGGAGGCGAGGGAGGCGACGAGGACTTCAGTAAAGTGCTTATGGGTATGATGGAGCAGCTTACGAACAAGGACATCTTGTACGAGCCAATGAAAGAGCTGGACGACAAGTTCCCAAAGTGGATGGAAGAGAACAGGGCAAAGGTGGAGAAAGATGACTTAAAGCGATATGAGGAACAGCAGACATTGGTCCGAGAGATTGTGGGCAGATTCGAGAGAAAGGGCTACAGTGATGATAATGCACAAGACAGGGAATATATCGTTGAGAGGATGCAAAAGGTATGCTATCACTTTCAGAATGCATCTTGTGGTATATATACTAATAGTTCATAGATGCAAGCCGCTGGCTCGCCACCGCCAGATCTAGTCGGCGACATGAATGCTGCTCAAGAAGCGCTGCAGGATATGGATCAGGGCTGCCCAACACAGTAGCCTCTCCTTGTGTGGTCGCCTGTCCGCTTCGCTCTTCCCAGATACCCTTCCTGTATACAAATGATGCTTTCTCCGCCCATCACACCCCTGACAATTTATAACGAACTGCCTTATGAATTGTACATTGTATAACCAGGAGAAGCTCAAAGATCCATCATATCCGTATCCATCATGTCCTCGCTTCCAAAGCCATGCTGCACTGTCTGCGATGGCTGCTCTGACTGGCCGTCCTCAGCCATTGCACACTTCATGAATATCAAGTCGTAGTCTTCATCGTCGCTACCATAGTGATGTGGTTGCACATCCGGTTCCTGCTCTATGGACGCAATTAACTGTTGGAGCTCGTACTCCTCTTGGGCGGCAACGTAATCGGCCTCTGTCATATCAGGATCAAATTGCGGCGCGTTGTTGAACATGATAGGTAATTGCGCGTCCTCGGAAGGTTCTTCGATAATGTCATCATTCACAGGCGGTGCCTGACGCGCTTTCTCTGCTTCCCAGCGTTTGCGTTCTGTTACAAAATCCAGTTGTTGAATCTACGTCATCGATGAATTGTTGGTTTCTCAAGGGTATCGTGTTCAAGCACATACCTGTTCGCCTCGTGACTCCCATTTCTTATCTTCGCGGTTATTTTGCACCCGCTTGAAGAACATGTCCCTTCGTCTCTTTGTAGCTGCATCGCGCGTTTGCATAACTGGGTTGGATTTGAATGTGCGCTGTGGAGTTGCTGATTGTTCCTTGATAGGCGAAGACATTGTGAAGTCGAAGATTTGAGGTTGCACGTTTCCGGAGCGCTCAGATAATGGTGACGAGCGTGGTGGCGTGTACGGAGAGCAATGCGCCATTTGGTGGGAGTAGAGAGACGTTGTAAGAAACATTTTTTTTGGAGTAACTTGTTGAATTCGTTGTGTTTAGTTGGGTAGGTAAGAGTTAATGTGCGAACTGTAAAAGTGACAATGTGGTTGTATGAGGGGTTCAGTGTGGATGTAGATGGGAGGCAAAGTAGGTGGAGCAGACGCGAGAGAACGCGCGACAGAGGCACGGTGGTCTGTGCATACTATCGATAAGAAACATGCCTAATTTTCCGCGGCACGCCAAAGCAGTACCAGGATGCCATTAATTCCTACCAATACGATTCAGATGAAAGAAGTTTGGACTACATCTTGCTACAACCCCAGTTCTAGCCCACAGAATTTGTCCCCACCACACTAATGTATTGAGATGGGCATAACCTTCTGCCATCTGCTGCCACAGCTTCTGGCAGCATAGAAATTGTTGTGAAGCAGCATATGTACATGATGAATAGGTACCAAAAGTCGTCGACAGGAATTAGTCTGATGATTGATCAAAGGGTGAGAGTTGAGGGGCCTTTACATATTGTGAAGGGCACATGGCGGTCAGAATGCTATTCTAAAGGACAATACATCTGTCGCAAATTCTGTTGCTAGGCTCTCGCGTGCCACACGCGCACGCCCTGGGAAGCCGAAACATTTGCCGCATCTGCAACGCACACACACATACATATATATATAGATGGCAGGTATACTTGCTTATGGTCTTACTGACGTATGTATTGATTATGGGCAGCATCTCGAAAAATTGAACATGGTACCAACATTCGTCATGACGTCAGACCAGCCCTTCCAGGATCTACGGCGCATCGTTGCTCTACAAGAGCCTATCACACAGCTTGCCACTGAAGAGCATCGGCATAGGGAGATGCATGATACCAATTACACATTGCCATGCTTACGCTATTTTCACCGATGTTGGACCCACCTGAACTCAGCTAGTCCGCCACATTTCCCTCGACCAGACAGAATACGGCAATGCGCTAGTGCTTTGCAGTCTGCAGACCCGCCATGCCGCTGGTCGAGATGTTTCGTTTGGCGTGGCGACATGCAAACTTGCAACTTCACGCCCCCACGATACCTGGGCAGTCGCTAAACCAGGCCGCCTCTGCACCTGCTCCAAACGTCAAAGGACGCAACATGGGTCTTAGCGAAGCTTGTACTAGATGTTACCTGCTCCCTGTGCTGCATTGAAGCGCATCCATCATCATGAGCCAATCCCCAACCAGTCGCGGGGCGACGAAGAAGAGCCGCTACGACATGAAAAGAGAACGGGATGTTCGGCTTCACTATGGGGCCGCCTTCTGCAACATACCACGCGTTGACAACCTGGCCACTCATGTCCCCCACCCATCTCACGACTCGACTCTCACGGCTTTGTGCCAGCTAACCGCTATCCGCATGGGAGGCCAGAGGGCCATGATCTCAATTCTCGAAGAG